GCTCGTCCACCCATCAACGCAATAAAAAAGAATAAGGTGATCGCTGTGGTCGCGCTTGTACATTGAAATTCTAGATTTTGCAAAACGTAACATTTAGTTTTTAGTATATAATAAACGTTAAGTTTGTAAAAGATTTGGGAGCACCAATTTTTTTATTGCCTTTTTAGGTAGTTGCCTAGTACAGGACTAACCTGATGGTGAGTGATAACCATCGCTTATAGAATTAAATCGTACAATCAATTTCAACTATGTATGTCTACGACTTCCGAAATTCTTTATTATATTTAATTCTAAAATACATTACATATTTGTTAAACTATAGTTCATAGTTATTTGGTCCTTGAAGTGTGTGCCAATTTTCATGTTAATCGGAACTTTTAAGTTTTTGTAAAAATAATCTGAATTATTCCCTAACACAGATAGGTAGAGACGGGCCAATAAAAGCGCTTTAGAAAAACTCTAATCTGACCGCTTTTAATGAAACATTTCTACTAAAGCGTTGTGTTACGAATCGGGGTCAGCGGAGGGATGGTGCGTGGGCCATAGTGACAAATGGATTCCATTGTCTTGCTTCATTACTGAAGGGTGTTCTGACGACTCGACCGACCCTCTTGTAATTTATTATAAAAAATCCTCTTAAAACATTATTTTATTGCAAGTTTTCACACAAATTTGTTTGTCACACGACTTCATCTGAATGCTTCTCTCTGCGATTCATAGTTCTAAAATTTTAACAGATGTTCGCTTAAAATCCGTTGATTTTAAAATTAGAACACAGTATTGTTTCACAATATATTCATCGCAAATTTGTTAATATGAGTACGGTGGTTATACGACATTGAAATAGAAACTAAGATCTAAGCCATCTATGAATCACTGTCTTGACATTACCGGAGATTATATAAAAAAAATAAACACAAGATTAATAAATAACAGCAATGCGTTTCGGTTTGAAGTGTGGGGCAGCCGTTGTAACTATACTAAGACCTTAGAACTTATATTTCAAGGTGGGTGGCGCATTAACGTTGTATATGTCTATGGGCTCCAGTAACCACTTAACACCAGGTGGGCTGTGAGCTCGTCCTCCCACTTCAGCAATAAGAAAAAGATCGTTAAAATTTCTCCCTTCATATTACAGTCAGGGTGATTTCAAAAAGGAAAAGACGTACAAGACGTACACAATTCAAATTTCATTTGAATTATTATTCGAATTCTGAGAAGTATGTACAGTTTACTTTTTCTTTATAAATTGGTATCGAATAATATTGTTATCTGAATTAAATTTTTTTATCATTATTTAAATTTATATTTTTATTTATTTTCGTTTGACTGTTTCTCTTCCAGCAGAAGCATTCTTAAGCAATGCTTGAATTTTATAATTAGCGGTTTGAAAAATTAATATATTCATACGACAATCGGAGTTTGCGTCTAAATTGAGTCATCAGATTCATCAAATCCGTACGTACCGGCGGCGGGCCATTATACAGGTTAGTGGGGCATTTGTCAAGCGGAACGGGCTTATAGGGCGCGGCGAGGCCTTTGCGAACAACCCTCCTCGCTGGTTATGTTACCCTGGTACTTATTTCTTTTTATGGTCTACGGGTAAATGTCAGGGGAGTGCCGTAGGCGCGCCTCTCACCCCGTGCGACTTTCAGCTTAACGCCAACTATAAACATGAAATAGGCAATATTCCCAATCGTTAAAGGCTAGCTATAAATGCGGAAAGATGCGAAAACACTAGGCCTTGATTAGATACGATGTATTCTATTTTATATATACGAAAATAATATACCATATCATATTATCACAGTAATACCTTATTTTTTGACCAAGGATTCTCCGAAGTTTCATGTAAGCGCCAAAAGGACTAGTAAAATTATATCTTCTTCAATTTATGTTGTCCTAGTTAAAAAGGAGCACCGGAATCCCGTGTTTCTCACGCTCGCACCCGTGATGCCCTTAGGATCTCTTTCTATCTCTATCTAATCCCTAGGAAGGACCCTTCGCACTCGTAGAGACCGTGGGAATTTAAGGATAAGTAAGAATGATCTGATTGGTATAGTCTCAGAGACATGGGTCAAAGTCTTAGCTGTATTATATGTATAATGTTTTATTCTAGCCTTAAAACTGGTAGCAATGCTGCTATACATCTGAAATACAGAGGATGGTGATAGCTAACCGCGCAGGCTCTCATTATGTCTCTCTGCGGAAATTTATGCATTTCATTCGGTTTCTTAGTTCTATCATTATGTGGAAGTTGCTCATGAGCACGTGCTAAGTATGTATGTAGTATTTGCTGTGAATAATTGCGATCAGTGAGCACGAGTTAGTCGAATTTATCGGGTGTCTTATCCGTTCCCGAATACATAGCAGTTGATGACTAATTGAATTTTTGAAAGACATCATATGAAAGTCTTTCAAAAATTCACTTAATCAAACAAATGTTTGTAATATAAAATATGTGGTACTGTATATTTATAAAAACGAGACTAACTAAGGAAAGTAATGTTTTTTTAGCTTAGGTATTATATAATACAATATATTTTTTATTTACATACATGTCTATATTAGTCTATTTCTTTGGCATAATCAACAACCATAAGCTTTTTGGTAGGTTTCAATATATCAGAGATCATTAAATGCATATCAGTTGTGGGAGTGATATAGCGTGTATTATTCCAATAAGGTGTTCGAAAAAAAAAAACGAAAAAAAAAATTCGCAGTATTCTATAATATAGAATTTAAGGTGAATTTGTTTTATTAAATTTATAATGAAATAAAAAAGGTAATAGAAAACAAGCGAAAGACAAGTTATGTTGTTTAAGGTATTGCTTCAGATCATTTAGAACCTCTGGGTCTACGAAGGGACGGTTTCTTATTTTGTGTACCAAATTTCCATTACGGGTGTTCTGAGATGATAAACTGCTTGAAATAGCCCATTCATATATGTAATTTTTACCATAACATCGCTCCACAGCGGAGCTATGTTTATCCAGAATACCTGGAACCACTGTGTTCATCCACAGTGCGTTTCCAGATATGTTTTTAACGACATACCATCCTATTTTGAAATTAGTTTTCCTCTATGGTTTTTCCCGGACCCTATGACATATCCTTCTTCAAGCGAAGTTTGAGGAAAGTCCTCAGCGGTGAGCAGCAGCTTAACTGCTCACCTAAAATTGCTGATACGATCAGATTTATAAAATTGAATATAAAGCTTAAACACTTCCAATTGAGCAATTAGCTTGTTCGAATCAAAAGAAAAAATCTCATCCGTTAATCTAAACAACCTGGCTCCGTGTGATATTATACAATCAATAATGTAAAAATTGTGAAAAAAACAAATTTCATTAAAGAAATTATATGACATTAGAAAATGATTCTGTCTGTGCATTGAAAACTGAAATCTAATATTTTATAATAAAATAACATACTATGGGAAATAGTATAAATCAGATTACAATGACAGCATACAGATAGCAATTTTTGTAGACAAAAGTATCAGCAACGTAGTCAGCAAAGTATCATCAATAAATTTAAAGTACAAAGATAGGTTAGCGATGTCCGACGGAAAGACTTTATATTTTATAAGCGGACCCGGATAATAATAGCTTGGGTCGATCATTAGCATCAGCAATAGGGCATGACCAGGCCGTGCTACTTTTAATTGTTGTATGGAGAACTACGCCCTTAGCGCTGGGTAAGCATTTCTCCGTTTGTGTAACACCTACAGTTTATATGTATTAATGTAGTACGGAAAATACATATAAATCAAAGGATTTTTTTGACAATTTCGTTATTTTCAAACATAGAAAACAAAAGGCCCCAAGAATCAGCTCAGTCGGTGAATTTAATTCAACTCATTGTTCGAGGCCCAGTATATATTCCAAACCAATGTAGATAAGTACAACGAGATTGATTAGTACCAAAAATATCATGATTCAGATTTAGATTTCTGGAAACGGTTTGGATTAAAAATATAAAAGGGATTTTCCGACTCACCTGAAGCGGGAATAAGAAAAACACTCAAAATCTTCAAAATACTCATGTCTGATGCTTAATACTATTATAATTTAAATTTACGCAAAAAACATAACAATTTATTTCTATATTTTATACTGTTGTTTAAAATGAAGTGATTTTTTTTTAAAAGAATGAACCAGCAAGGCGTCCGTCGCAATTCGCAATGCTCGTGGGTTTATCAGTGGCCGGACTAGTCCTGAAGGCGCCCCACAATTTCAGTTCAACCCCACCACCCTTTGCTAGTGGTGCGATACGAAATGGGAACAGGGAGCGTCCCGAGCCATAAAGAAAACTGTCTTGGCTACGCTAATTGAGACAATATTTGTTTTCCACGCCGCGCCGTTGAGCGAACGCGTTTTTTAATTAACGCTTTGTAAAATTCAATTTATCTATCACGTTACAGTTTAATTGGATTTTGGAGAATTGGAATTGAATTAGATTGGATTTTTAGTAAAATAAATACGATCGTATAAAAACGAAAGGGTTATATTTCAAAAACTAACCAAATCCACTCAAAGATCGGGATGAACCGCGTTTTGCGAACTTTGAAACAAAAATTGATAAAAACACCGAAATTATTATGGTTATCCTGTACGTTATTTGGTAATTAGTTTTGTAAACATTAAATGAAATTTAGAGGATCGCACAAGAGCCCAAACAGGTCTAGAGAATTTAATTAAAGATAGAGGAAGAGAGGGACGGGAGATTCGTGAATCCCAGCCACGGTGTGCTGTGATATTTGCTAGTTGTTTAAAAATCATTAATTTCTTGAAACTATTCAGGCGCCACCTGTCGTGTATTGATCGTAATATATCACAGCGTATGCGCTATTATAACGTATAAACTTAGATTGGGAAATTTCATGAAACTTCATTTAGTAGTATTTTATCACGACTTCCATTCACTGTAAATATTTTCTCATGATTACCTCGCAGTAGAAGTAATCTCCTCATCTTATATTCTCGTCCAGTTCTCACCTCCAATTATCATCTTGAACATTAATGAAGTATCTGGATCTGTTTTCCTATGCGGTAGATATGTAATTATGAGTTTTGACTTGAAAGGCAGCTGAGCCAAAACCCACCCGGTGTCGATACCTCGCAGACTCCGATGGCAGTCTGTGATTATTTGATATGTCACACACCAGATCTGTGGTACGGGTAACCTCCACCGTGCCTCGATGAGTTTCTGATTCAATGACACTATCATCCACTCATTATTTACCCAGAGCCCTCTGGATGACCTCCAGCTCGGCTAAAGACTTCACTTCACCTCGAGGAGGTGAAGATATTGTGGTCTAAATTATAAGATGACTGGGAACTGTACCCGTTGTTCAAATTCGGCATCCAGGTACCAATTTTGCTAATGAGATACGTACTTAACACATGTTCAGGAATGATTTGAAGAAATTAATATCGTGTTATAAAAATCAACTAGGCAAAAATTTAAATTTTTGTGGAATTACTGGTCTTGGGAGATTTGTTTGATAGAGCTTCTCCCAGTGTGAGAGGTAGCTTTTTAGACATTAACAACAAAATCATAGTTTATTAAACATTAATAAATTTGCGTCTATCCACATTTATATTCAATATGTTTTCATGATGTACATAATATGTAAAAAGGTAAGATCTTCCACCGAGCGAGTTTATTAATTCGGTAGACCGACATTCCGAATCTTTTTTTTTGGGATAGATGTATTATTATTGGTGACCCGAAGGCTTTTGACGAGGCCTTACGAAAATGGGAGTCATAAGCAATATTCATTGGTATTTCGAATGAGCAATGTGGAATGTTTTATGGAGAAAAATTAAGGTTATAATTTCAGAATGTGAAAGATATGGTTTTATGCAGCGAATTAATTAGTTTAATAGTTGTTAATCCTATTGATTCCGGTGCTTTATACTTTTTTTTTTACTTTTTTTTTACCTTGCGATACTCGGGCATCAGATGAAATCCGGCCAAGGTTAAAATCCGTGAAGTCATTGAAAACAAGGGCACGCGACGTCGTAATTGGACGGGCCGGCAAATGTTAGCACAGAGACAATCACGGTACGGCATTTACCCCGGATTATGGCGTTAGGGCGTCGTTGCCTTTTTGCCACCCTCTTTATGGGGTGTACTAGAAAAGGTAATGTACCTATTTGCAATATTGTCGAACTTCGGTGTAGTGGTGTCAACGAGTCTCGTATTTATGAACGATATTATTGAGTTTTTGTCGGTCAGAGGTTTGGATAAAAGTTGTAGAGTTTTTATAATCGTCTTCAAAGAGGAAGTTATTGATCCGACCGCAATTTTTTATGCCAATGATATTATTTCGCTATCTTTTTTGTCTGGAACAAACAAATGAAGATTCGTTACATTTCAAATTCACAAAAGGTGCAGTGATTGCGTAATAGAAGAAACTTGGAAAAACGTCAAATGACATAACGCTTTGCAATAACAGTAGGTGTAACCATCCTATTCACTTTAAATTTCCCGTTCAGTGGATTTTTTTTTAAGAAAACAACACCGAAACACGCATTCTTTCTGTTCAGTTGTTCTTCCCGCGAATGCATGAATCGATAGACCTTTAATAGAATATGTAGCGTATTTATAAAATAATATTTGGAGTTAATCCCGGAAATATCTATATAATAATGTTATATAATAATATGTTAAAGTGTTTTTTTTTTGTTTGTCATCATGTTAAGACAAAGCGACGGATTAAATTGATTTTTTAAAGTGATGTATTAGGGGGTGACTTAGGATACCTTTTATACTAGTATATTATAAATAGAAATAACATAATATGTATTTAAAATTGTAGTTAAGCTACGTTATTTTATTACAAATTAAGCCGGTATTTATCGCGGTGCACATCTGTTGCAATTATTGTACACGAACTCTTTGTAAAGCCCCAAATTATCGTTTATCCTGGCGTCAATACCGGACACATGGAAATCACAACGTAAATGGTACTATCACCACTCAATTTTACTTGTTTAATGTTAAAATAAATAATAGTTATTTGTTTCTCATTTTTTAGTTGAATCTCAATTTTTTAAATATTTTTAAATATTTAATATTTTTTTAAATATGATTTGTCATCGGTCTTTAATAAGTATGCCAAATTTAGAGTTAATCTGACGTTTTGAAGGGGGTTAAAATCATGTTCAAAGATTCCGTTACATGCCTACATACTAACATAATACGTCTGAAGCTAATAAAAGCGTATTCTTCTTCTATATCGTTCCCTCACTACTGAGGATCGCGACCACATGCGACGTACTTCCAATGTGCTCGATCATGGGTGGCATGGACTGCATGGTACAGACTACCACCGACTGCTTCTCTTGCCAGATCTGACCATCTGGCTGGTGTTCTGCCCACGGCGCGCTTGCCTTCTATTCGACCCGTAATTATGAACTTCTCTAATTAATGTCTGGGAGACCGCATGATGTGTCCGAAGAAGCTCATAACACGACGTTCCCGGCAGATGGAAGAGAGCCTTTTTCGGATGTCTAGCTGCCTTAGAATGGACTCGTTTGTTCTCATGGCAATCCACGGTATTCGCAGCCTATTAAAAGCGTATTAAAAATTATATTCATTTCTTTCCTAGGTGTGTACCTATCTGAAAATTTTCAAAAAGTATAATTAGTATAATTAGGACTCCACGGTAGTCCTTCTGAGGAAACATTACGAGGGGTGAACGGCTAATTGGTTTAAGTGACATCTTTTTTAAATTTACAGGTGAACCATTTAAAGTTTAAGGGGAAAATATCATAACAAACATAATTTCTTCAGCTATTTCAATAGAGTAAACTTAATTGAAGTTCAATTAAAAACATCGTACTGTTGATGCTAATACCAAATAACAGTAACACGCATCTTTAATTACAAAGATATATGTCGCGTATTAAGCAAAATGTCGATTACACCAAATGGCTTTTCACCCCTCGATTATAAATTAGAAAGATTTCTATAGATTAATGTTCCCGATAGCCAAGAAGTAAATTTTTATAATTATTTTAATAAAATTAATTTTCTGGTGGTAGGAACTCTTGTGAGCCCGCACAGGTAGGTACCACCGCCCCGCCTATTTCTGCCGTGAAGCAGTAATGCGTTTCGGTTTGAAGGGTGGGGCAGCCGTTGTAACTATACTGAGATCTTAGAACTTATATCTCAAGGTGTGTGGCGCATTTACGTTGTAGATGTCTATGGGTTCCAGTAACCACTTAACACCAGGTGGGCTGTGAACTCGTCCACACATCTAGACAATAAAAAAAAACATATCTGGTTAGTTAACGAATAGGTACGCGCAGTACTAATTATTGCCTACAGAAACATTTATTATTAATGGAGTGAAATGTGAACTACACAGGTGCGCTCTGCACTAGCCAGGTCATACGACATTCCGTTTGGAGTTAGAAACTATAGCGTTTGTTAGTTGTATCTGCGATTTGAAACGAGTATAAATATAGCAATATATATCAGCGAGTAGCACTATTTAAAGTTTTTTTTTATTGCTTTGTTGGGTGGACGAGCGCACGGCCCACCTGGTGTTAAGTGGTTACCGGAGCCGATAGACATCTACAACATAAATGTGGCCACCCACCTTGTGACACCTTGACCTTTTACATGACCCACCTTGACCTTTTACTGGTGGTAGGACCTCTTGTGAGTCCGCGCGGGTAGGTACCACCACCCTGCCTATTTCTGCCGTGAAGCAGTAATGCGTTTCGGTTTGAAGAGTGGGGCAGACGTTGTAACTATACTGAGATCTTAGAACTTATATCTCAAGGTGGGTGGCGCATTTACGTTGTAGATGTCCATGTTCTCCAGTAACAACTTAACACCATCTAAGCAATAAAAAAAAAAAGACCTGAGTTCTAAGGTCTCACTTTTAACAGTATAACGGCTGCCCCACCCTTCAAACCGAACCGCATTACTGCTGCAGAAATAGGCAGGGTGGTGGTACCTACCTACCCGTGCGGACTCACAAGACGTCCTACCACCAGTAATTACGCAAATTATAATTTTTGCGGGTTTGGTTTTTATTACACGATGTTATTCCTTCAGCGTTATAATTAGCATTATAATAGTGTTATCTTTTAACTGACAAGTGTTTTGTAACTGAACTCGTGACGAAAGAGATAGGGACGGTTTATTCATATCGGGCGATGCGACTATGTCAGGGTCAAAATGCCACAGAAAGGTCTAATATTTCTGAGCAATTACGTATCGCGCACATATTTACGACTTTCACATAATTGTAATAATTTTTTTAATAAAAATGCCCTTTTTTTGTAGTAGTAGGTACCTGGTTTTTAAGCCGACGCGATTTAATACGAACGATATCGTGTTCAAGTTCCAATTCGAACATATTCCAGATGTTTTACTTCATAATACGCTTGTATTTAGATCGATATTTTTATTTGCGTTTTGAAATTCGTTGGACCTTGAAAAAATACCATATCTTTTTTCCATCATCCCGCCTAGACGAAAAACGCTTCAGTGTGGTCACAAACATTTTGGCAAAATTGAGAAACCGTTTTAAAAACAACTGCGACTCAGAAATATTTAACAGGATTTAGCTAGATTGGCAGAAAGTCACTAGGTTCATCAACATTCCTCACTACGTAGAAACCCGCCGCCGCCGAGCAGGAGGTCGGGACCGGGGTCCCGTCCGTAACCCGGCTCCCTAAGAGCTTCGGGCTCCACCCGCTTTGTGCGGGAAGGAACCTAGGCGTGGGGCGGCGTGGTAGGTCGTGTTCCCCTGACCGCTCCGGGGGAAGGTGTAGCGCGGCGCTATCAATCGGGCTCTTGGCCCGTCGACCGAGGGAACCGGCAGTCATGTTACTGGCGGCCGCTGGTCCGGCGTCTGGGGGACGGCGGGATGGATGTAATGTGCTCTGCTTAAACCCTGTCCCGCCGTCTCAATAGCTCCGACTGGGTTCCCGCCCAGTCTGAGGTAGGGCGCCGGCTGTGAGCGGCAGGAGTTTTTAGTGAGGTTCGACTCCCACATACCGTGCGGGTGGGGATCCGACGATTTTCTCCTGTGGAAAAAAAAGGTTCATCAACATACTGAATTTCTATGTTTTAGTTATAAATAAAGTTAATAATTATTATTTATTTTATGATGAATTTGATGTCTATTTATTTTGTTACATTTTTATGAGATAATTATGTCAAGCTTATTCGCTTCACCAAAGAGCAAAGTTTTTAGATTGTTAAGTATTTTATTTCAATAGGAAGGAAAACTAGAGATTTGTTAAGTATTTTGATTAGGGGCGTCCGAGGTTGATTTCGGAAAAGGAGTCTTTTGCCTAAAATAGTTTGGGAATTCCTGACTGCTATATGGAATCTCTATTATTCACTTAATGACTGAAGACGAGTGGCAGAATTCACGTTACATGTCTATGGGCTTTAATATCCATCTCACCTCAGATGGGACGCGAGTTCGTTCACTTCTATTTAACAAAACAAAAAACACTGCACGCCACAGGAGCAGCATTCATCTACATTCATAGTGTGTGGATACGCAGATGTAATTCTTCAAATGAGGTTTGAGGAAAGTCCTCAGCAGTAGGCGGCTATTTGGCTGTGCCTCTGGCATTCAATGCTGATGTCCATGAACAACGGTGACCCCCACACCATAGGTGGGACGGAAGTTCACTATGCCCCGAATTCAAAGCTTGGCACGCCGAGCTCTCATTACGCAATAAAACCAGACCTGTCGCAGCCAGCGGAAGGCGATGCTCAGCTTTGGCTCGGAAGTTGCATTTCCCAACCGGAAAGTGATGCTCAGCTTTGGCTCGGAATTTGCATTGCCGGCCGGAAGGCGATGCTCGGCTTTGGCTCGTAATTTGCATTGCCGGCCGGAAAGTGATGCTCAGCTTTGGCTCGGAATTTGCATTGCCGGCCGGAAAGTGATGCTCAGCTTTGGCTCGGAATTTGCATAACGTTACCGTCGTCCATGGACTTCAGAAATGCCAGGGGCAGAGCATAGCCCCTGCCTTTTAAAAAAATGTCTCGAATTATTTCCGGAGCTTTCCAGATTGGTGAAATGTCGAACAGAATTCATTCTTTTGAGCTCAATCGATCGATTTTTATACGTAACATACAGATTAACATTTCAATTAAATTTTTAAGTTTTAAATTTTATCTTTTTTATCTGTATTGCTTATTAAAGATATTAATTAGTGAAATGTTGGAACGCATTTAAATCCTTATTAAATTAAACTAGCAAACCACACACCACTTTATATTAAATATATTGTTAAATTGTATACGTGATTGAAATCAAATAAGCAACACCGGGGAAATGTTTAGTTTTCGTGACGTCATTCCACATTCTTCTCAAGTTTATCAACAACTGTTTGCAGTATTGAGATGTTTTTTGTTCATGACTCTTCATAGCCACGCCATCATATTTGTTCCCTAAGTTTTTTTTTTTAATACTCGACAAACACAATTTGTTCATATCCAAGTTTTTTATTTATTGTTTAAATAAATGGACGAGCTCACGGCCCACCTGATGATAAGTGGTTACTGGTTACTACCAAGTCTGCTGGGTCAGCTAGTTTAGACTAAATATAGAAGAGATATATTAGTTTAGTTTTAGGAAAAATTTATAACAGTTTACGGAATTGTGGAACTGTTAAAATAATATGTTTTTATAGCAAAAAAAATCTTATCTTGTTTCTGTTTGTTTAATCGTTCAGTTAAAGGAATTTTCTTCGATTCCACCTACGAACAACGTTTCCAAGGAATTTCCAAAAAAAAAACTTGAGCAGCAATGAATTTGTACAACACATAATATTTTTCATAACTTCAAATGTAAATACAATATTGTATTTATATATTGGATTTATGTAACAAATAGATAATAGCTGTATAAATATAATAACTAATTATGAATTTTTATTGTTCTTCATTGGTAAAAGAGGTCGCAGTCCTATTGCAATCCTATCGCAGTCCAGTCGCGTATGACTACTTTGCGGCAGAAACGGACACCATGTCGGCATTTACTATTGTTTAATTAACTTAAAACTGTGATCGGTCATCGACCTGTAGAATTGGAGCAAAATTGCATAACGTTGTTTTTGTAAACCGATAAAATGGAGCGCTCGTAACGTAATTTTCGCGTAGGACTCGGTAATAATAATACCATTTATCTCCGAGATACCGCGTTATCTCCAATCAAATGCGAAATTGACATTTCTACGTAGATATGAGGCACTCGTATCGATTAACCCTTTTTTTCTGCTTTTCGCTTTCATTCCCAGACTTAGCGGAAAAAAAAGCAGTTTGACGTCGAGGCCCCTTTAATATTTCTCTAAATAATTCGTCCTAAAAGAATAATCTAGAGGTCTGTACTCCGAGAATAAGGCCGAATGCCTTTGTGCCTCTGCTGTTAAGAGTGTTAAAGTTCAAAGCAGTCGACTTGTGAATTGATTAATTAATCTGTTATTCACTATTTATGAAAGTTAGAATGGAGGTTAGGAAGTTAGGATGAAAGCTAGGAGATGTATGGAAATGGTAGTGCAAGGTAGAGGGAGAAGAGGTCGACCGAAGAAGACATGGATGGAGTATGTGAATGACGATATGAGAGAGAGAGAGGAGTGAGTGCTAAGATGACGGCTGATAGAAGAGAATGGAAGCGAAAAATTTGCTGTGCCGTCCCCACCTAATGAGATAAGATGGAGAAAAAGAAGAAGAGAATGCACTAGAATGTTACCTTGTATATAAAAAAAACGTAAAAATGTAACCAATGAAGAAGATTTTGGTCAGCGCTTTGCCCATAAGACTTGTTTATTATTGTATGGAAGTTATTTCAGTATTAGCTATACAATTACAGACAGTACAGTATTTGTAATACCTACATTAAAGCAACTTATGTTACATTTAAAACGTACTGAGCAAATAAATTATTTTATTGGTATAAGCATGGTAGATGTTACAACCCAATTTAGTTTTTAATACGAAATATTACCATATTTAACGACTATTCATCTTATTAATGAACTATGAGTTGAACTATGAGTATTTTTTTTTTAATTATCTAAATAGATAATAAAAGAAAAAAAATATTAATAATTTAATTTAAAAAAAATAATTAAATTATCTATTTAGATAATATAGATAAAAATGATAAAGGATAAAAAATATACTGGTTTAGTTTAAATTTTGGGAACTGGTTTAGTTAGTTAGAAAATAATATAAAACTAAAATGACAAACTAAGTCGAGTTATTTGGAAATGAATACGAACTACGTAATGTTGGGTTAGTTTTGTAGTACATTAGACCTTTTACAGTTAGTGCAGTCTACAGTATATGGATTTACTTGATTATAAATGGTTATCGTCTCTCGTGGGGCAAATCTAAACCATTTTCTAAACCTATTTGGAATAAGGACAAATCTAAGGTTCATTTTGAAGTCTGGATAGTGCATGGCCTAATATCTTATGATCTATAATAGTGCGAAATTATTAAAAATACTCTTCTTACATTAGTGGATGGATTGATTAAGGCGTATGGAAGTCCAGTGGGAGTTTCGAAGGCAGGCAGCAGGGCGTCGGCGACCTCGGCGGCTTTGTCTCTGAAGATGGTGTCACCGGTCAGAGCGTAGCAAGACAGCAGACCTCCCACAAAACGTATCGTCGTTTCGAATACTGATAGTTCGGAATCCTACAAAACACAAGCTCGGATTAGTTTCCGCTATGAATTTCACCCAATGCAAATAAATACATCGTTCAAACAATCAGCGCATCAACCATCGTACTGCGTGACAAAAATCTTACCTGAAGTTCAAGTACTGTTTCAATCGGATAAATCATCAACTGTAAATAAACAAGCATTCGTTTTAATAATAAACTAATTCAAAAAGCAATCTATTGTTGGTGGTAGGTAGCCTTTACACTATTTATTACCTGACCTGATGAAACTGGAAAGGCCTCCGGGCCACCAGTAATCTTTCAATCATAAAAAAAACAAACTATTTATTTAGATACATTTTAGTCATATTTATTTTCAATTTAACGATATTAATTCACGTTCTTTTAAAAGGAGTTCGGGTCAAATGTTAACGACACGGAGTTTCCAATGATGCATCGATTGACTTACAACACGCTCGATTATGGTTTATTGCCTTTTAAAAGTGTACGTTATTTATTGGGGTGATTGACATTGAAAAAATATACACCGGTCTAATTATACAATAGTAAATGTCGGACCCGCCGAGGCTGAGCAAATATCAACATCGGCTCTGTGTTTTCTTACGAACTTAAATATAAAAAAGCGTGAAGTTACAGTGAAACTAATATCAAAAAGAACTTGAGTGTGCATTATTTAAGGACAAAATTAAAATAGCAACAATAGTGTACGAAGCAGTGCAAAAAAAAAAAAAAACCAATTGTGCTCGTAAAGTTTAACATAACCCAGTGACTTTTAAAGACAGTATAAAATAAAGAAGTTTATATAACTTAACATCGCAAAACTGCTAGTGGTATGAAATAATTAATTATTGACTAGAATAACATTACAGTGGAATTTAGTGAAATCCTTCAAAAAAAAAAAAATTTTACAAAAAAACAATATAATAAAAATTCCGAAGTCATCATACACTAACGCCATCTACTAGACGACGACGAGGAGCGGTTTATGTCAAACTCAACTAAATCGACCCACGAAAAAAGTTCCGTCAATTGGCAAAAGAGGTCACTATTAAAAGATTATTAATGAATTTTGTCTTGCTACCAAGTTCCCAAGATCATCAATAGGGGTTACCTGCATGGTAAACAAAGTAACAATACTTTAAATTGACAATGGAGCAGGTAATGACCGCACTTCTTTCTATTCAAAAAGAACTCGACGAACAGAAAAAACTTATACACAAAAAAGGGGAAGAAGTGACAGAGAAGGTAACATTAAATATAAATAAGATACTAGAAGAGAAATTAAAAAATTTGGAAAACCTAAGTCGAAGGTGGAAAAATCAAGAAGCAAGATTATATCTACATGGGAAGACAATCAGACAACGTAACTAGGTCTTCTTGGATTGGAGGAGACCACGAAAAAATCCTATCAAATTCAGAAAACACTATAGTCACTAGACTTTGTACATAAATACTTCCCAATACAAATAGACCATAAAGACTTACAAGCGATCAGAAGAATAGGGAAGAGGACTAAAAAGCCACGACCGGTAGTTATTACTTTCACAACACTTGGCAAGAAGATAGATATCTTAAAGGGCAAAGGAGCTTTAAAAAAAACACGTAATTACATTAAATACACAAGCTTGTTCTACTAAAACCACCAAAGACCCGAATAACAATAAAAGAAGTCTATCAGAATCCAGAGAATAATACAATCAACCATGCCGGGCAGATATCTCAAGCAAACAAAAAGAACAAAACCTTGGCTGCCCACATAATCCAAAGGTCTTCAAGCTTTTCCGAAGGCGGAGTAAAACCGAGCATACTAAACTATCTAACAAACAAAAATAACAAGAACAAGAAAACAAACACACAAGCCAACACCACAAATATATAGCAACGAACCGACCAGCCTCAGCCAGAAAACAACAAACAAACTGAAAAATGTACATTAATACAAAACACACATCTTCCAAGCCGGCTGGTCCCCGTGGAAGAGTACGACCACAACCCTCCAGGAAAACCACAAAAACAAAAAACCACTAAACTGAACAAAGACTTTAAAATGATAAAAATTTGGAACTTATAATGTCGTCTCTTCATCAATACACGACTACTTTAGACCCATATGCTCTGCAGAATAAAATTGCAACCTACTAGGACTCTCAAACAACAAAAATGGGCTGCCACATAGAAGAGTATTCAGACTATGTTTTCTGCTATATAGGAGAAACAAAGGGATTGTATGGAGTCGGATTTTTAATAAAAAAGGCATGGAAAAACAATATAACTAACTTCACTGGCATTTCGGAGAGACGCTACTTCAAAAGAATTTGGCGACCTAGACACATTCCCTATAAATTCATGATCACGCACCACGAGGAAAAATCAGAACGATACAGAAATACAAAATTCAGCAATACTGAAAAAAGCTCATACACTATCAAATGAGAAAATCATAATATTAGGAGACTTCAATGCAAAAATAGGGCAACCCAAAAAAGAAGAAAAACTCGTCATGGGACAGTACGGGCTAGGCCAAAGAAACGAAAGAGGCGAAAGACTGCTAGAATATGCATTGGAATATAGACTAGCAATAATCAACACTTATTTCAAAAAAAGACGCCGCAGAAATGGACTTGAAGTCACCAAACGAAAAGTTAAAAACGAAATTTTTTTTGTTTTTTATTGCTTGATGTGTGACGACTCACACTCCAACCTGGTGTTCAAGTTTAGCTGGAAGCCCATAGACAATCTCAACGGAAATGCGCACCCACCTTGAGATATAAGTTGTAAGCAGCCATCAGTATAGTTACAACGGCTGCCCCACCCTTCAAACCGAAACGCATTACTGCTTCACGGCATACAGGGCGGTGGTACCTACCCGCGCGGACTCACAACAGGTCCTACCACCAGTAATTACGCAAATTATAATTTTGCGGGTTTCACTTTTATTACACGATGTTATTCCTTCACCGTGGAAGTCAATCGTGAACATTTGTTGAGTACGTATTTATTAGGGCTCCCGCCTGCGGGATTCGAACACTGGTGCCCCATCGCCCGCTGCCCAACGCGAAGTGCCTACCGGGTACTCCCCTAATCCGTGTTAGACACCACGACGACCTTTTTCTCGACGGTTAAAAACGAAATCGACTACATCATGACAAATGTCCCAAAAATAGTCCAAAATTATGAAGTTCTCAACAACGTAAAGTTCCAAACAGACCATAGACTACTTAGAGCAACAGTTCTATTGAGTCAAGCGAAAAAAAATAGAAAAGGCTTTAAACCACCACCAAAAATCCCAAAAAATGAAGAAACAAGATACTACATAGACCGCCTCAAAGAAAAATCGAACAATCGAATACAAAAACTAGCAAGCACCAGAACGTTTCAATCTAACCCCCCTATGGTAAAAGCAGGCCATAGAAAAAGCTAATAACAAAAAAGTTTACCTAGCAATAAAACAATACCAAAAAAGAAAAAACGCCACAAAAAAAAAAAAAAAAAAAAAAAAAAAAAAAAATAAAAAAAAATGTTAAGCGAAGAAACACTAGCCTTAATTAACAAACGCAGTGAATTAACTCTAAGAAAGAATAAAGATGCTGATAAAAAGAAGAACTAGACAAATTTATAATAGGAAACCACCCAAAAGGCGAGTTAAAAGAGACTTAGAACCCCACAGGCCAATAGGGATAAATAACAAAAATTATTTTTAATAATTTTCCGCGCAAGCAACAAAGAGAGCTTTTTAATAGAAAATTAGATACTTTTTAAGAAAATTATATCTTTTTTTTGGAATATCATATAAAACTTAGGAAAGGGCCCAAATTCCCATAAAGAAATTACCAACTAAGACAAGAAATCGTACAGAAGGCCCACCTTCCTTTCTCCAAGATAAAATATACATAAAAAAATGGTGGACGGTGGCGGTGGTTTACTATGGGATAACCACAGTAAGGGAATGGGGAAAACCTGTCTTGATGGCCTATATTTTCGAAAAATTATTACGCATGCAAACCTTTCTAGAAATTGGTTAAATAAAATTAAATTAGATAAAGTTTAAACAAAAGGATTTTATTATCATAGACATGACAAAAAAGTTAAATTAGATAAAGTTTAAACAAAAGGATTTTATTATCATAGACATGAATACAAAACAGATGGCGCGTAACGGAAAAATGTGACGCGTAACCGAAAAATGTGACGGTAAATTTTTTTCCAACGCCGAT